AAAATTAATTATGGGATTGATGTATGATTTGTACAAATAAGAAATTCATTCAATCAGTAGTGATCAGGAGTGGCATAGAAGGTCCTCTGTTGCCGTTTCGATAAGATAAATCATATTGTGAAATAATTCTCTGTGGTTTCCACCAACAAATGAGTTTTCAGACAACCACGCAGCATTGGAAGAACAGCTCATCAGGCCATGCGTTGTAACGGCAAACCCTTCCAGGCATGGAGCTGACCCTTCACTGCTGGCTTTTGTGTTCACACTCCTGTCGAACTCACCGGGGAAGAAAGACCAGGTCAGTCTGACAGTGCAAATGACACTTCAGTCTCTGTTGATTGCAACAGTGAAAGAACGTTTCGAGGATTAATGATGTCTCCCAGTGAGACAGGAGTAGCCTATTTTAGAATATGGAGTGGAAAAATAATGGTCAGTCTCATTCATGTTTTGCATTACTAAGATTAAGAAAAAAGTAGTTAAAAAATATCATGAAATCAGGCTTGGGCAAACATTTTATTGTAAAAGTTTATAAATCGACATTTTAATTCAAAAGTCAGAATTTGCATTTGCCACGCCTCACATCATGTGAAATTAAAGGGATAGTTCATCCAAAAATGAACATTCTGTCATCATTTACTCGCCCTAATATCGTTCCAAACCCGTACGACTTTTCTTCTTCTGTGGAACACAAAAGGATAATTGTACTGGTTGCTCTTATTCCCCATGGGGGCTGAAGCTTACAAGCCTCCAAAAAGGACTCAAAAGCACCATGAAAGGGTCCATAAGACTCGTGCGCTATACCCCAAGCCTTTTGGAGGCCAAATTTTCTGAATTGTAATTCAAATAAATCTTTCACGCCTGCTTCAGTTTGTTTGGCTCCGCAAATTTGAAGAATTGAGGGGTAAATTAAAGCATTCTTGGAAATTATGTGTTTGTCCTAGTGAAAGTTAATTTATGAAAATACCCCATATGTTGTGTGTACAGTATGGTGACATTTTTCCAACTGAGAAATGAAATGTTTTACAATTTTGCATGTACTGTTTGCTACATCACATCAAAGTTTTGGAATTTAAACAGCATTTTAGGATGTGTTCACACTTGACAGGTTTGGTTCGATTAAAAATCTGGTCTGGTGCGATTGCTCTGTAAGTGCAGTTTGATTAAGTGGGAACGCTGCTGCGCACCGAATAAGCAGACTGAAACAGCTGAAAAGATGGGTCTCTGACCACTTTCAAACAAACTCTGGTGTGATTTGACTGAAATATGAACGCAACACAGACAAAGACGTCTAAACGAATCAAAAAGAGGACGTGATGTCACAAGATGCGACCCAAAAGGACCGAATGCTCAAGCATACCTGTTTTTTTTTGTTATAGGAGCTACGTTGCCCATTTCAATTCGTTACAGGCGCCAGAAACGGCATCTCCTCGCAGCAGTTCTTCGTTTGTGTGCAACGGAGGGATTCCTGCTGCTGTTACATTTTAAGCTCTTCAGGAATTTTCATCTGGTCAAATACCATCATGTACGCACATACAACGAGTGCATTTTGCCCAGAACACAGCATTGTTTTGGATGTTCGGTAAGGTCTTCTCTTTTTTTCTTTTAGGTTTGGTCTTAAGAATGCGAGTGTGAACGCTAAGCGATCCAGGATTAAATGTATTATTTTCTTTTTTTGGTCTGAACCAAAAGAGCCCAAAGAACCAAGAGAACTGAACTACAAGTCTAAACACACCCTTAATCTCAATTCAATTCTTAAAGGCATGTTATTTTAAATATGGTTTATTACTGTAAATTTGGTAATCCTTCAGCACCATAGTAGCCTAAGTACTGTGGTATTACACTAGGTACTGCAAGCGATATAAGGTCAGGTTCATTTTAGAAACAGCCCTTTTGTGACATTGTCCTTTATACTTTATTCCTTTTTTTTTAAAATAAAACAGGCGTTTTACCAAGGGCGAAACCAACCATTTGTAACATGTTGCAGTGGCAAAATACCAAAGCAGCAATTGACCTCCTTATTGGATTTGTTCTTTGTTTATGCAAAAGGCTTTGTTTAATCCTGCATATTTTTCTCTTTCATCATTGTGTTTGCAATGACATGATGCACCATGTTTTTCTTGAGAACAAACAATTATTTGCGGTTTTATGGTTTTATGTTTTTCTTACAACGCAATGATGACTAATATGGCTAGTAAATTCAGGACTGACTTCATAGCATTTATATTTAGAGCCGAATTAGCATTTCCAACACTTGTTTTTAGCATTAAAGCTTTCAGATGCATTGTGAAAGACAATGTTATTGTAGCAAAGAAACAAATACAATCAAAAACATAAAAAATAAACTACCTTTTGGCTGTTTTGAATGTAGTGGGTGGTGTTTTCTGCAAGAACTAACTGTTGCCATTTATTTATTTTGTGTGTGTTTTTGTTTCAGTTAATCTTGTCTAGGTTTACATAGAATTTTTTTATTTCTATTGTCAGTGACAAAATAACCTTGGTTAGTAACTCAATGTGTCAATGGTTTCAGGAAGAAAATGGATTTGTGAAGACTGAATCGGTATCCTAGTGTTTGAATTACGCTGTGTGAAGCAGTGTACGACTAGGGCAGGAAACAGCTGCCCTCCCTCTGGCTTCATTGATCTGAAATTTCACCCCTAGATTGAAGAGCAACTTTTATTATTTAGTTTTAATTACCCCCTCAACCCTCACTCTCACAGGTTAGTGTAGAGACATAATCCCCCAGAGGGTCAGCAGCCAACTGGAGCTCCCGGGACCCGCACATACTGACTGTGAAGGACAGCGAAATAGACCTGTCAGGCACGGCTTAAAGCTTGCCAAAAGCTCTGAAAGGAGGAGGAATAGTAGAGAATGAATGTGAACCGGGTGCTTGAGATTATACGCTCATTCCGTGAGTGAACGAAAGCATTTGACAACGGATCAAATTTATCTGATGTAGATGATGGTACTTCAGCTATGAAGACAACAGTGCCCCTTCCTGGCTTTCCATTCCTCCAGGTACCCTTTCAGAGACACAGGCTAGTAAATGATCTAATGGAGTACAATTATAACTCTGGAATTATGCATCCATTAGTGGATGAAATGGCTATTTGAATTTAATTTATAGGAGAGACGTTAAGATCATTACAGCCTCCTTTTTACACACCGGGGCCAATTTCGCCATTGCTCAAACACCCGCTGCTGCCTTATTTACTCTTTCAGCCTTCTTTCATAGACTCTTATTGGGAATAAAAAGACACAAATAATTCCCCGAACATTAGTGACCGAGTACTGCGGTTCCTTGTGATCGTAATTGTAGAAATTTTTTAAGCAGGACATAAACAGGGAGCATCTCTTTCATAAATCAGAGCTTTGCCAATTTATTAGATTATGATTTTAAGGAATTTGTTCATTTGAATCGAAGGGTGTGATCCTTGCGATGTACAGCCGTTGTGTTATTAAATTGCACATTTGCTGCTTGTTTTGTAGCAGGCTTTATCCCCATGACAGAAATCTAGGAAAGTATTAAAGGGTGGAGAGAGAAAAATAGCTGCACACAATCCTGGCTGCATCTCCAAACAGTAATAATTTGGCAATAATAGGCAATTCATTGCTTCATTCTTTGATGTATTTCCGACTTAATAATCTCAAAGCAAGGCTGAACCTCAAAGGATTTTGCAGACTGCATAGAAAAGCCAGCTTTTTATGGCTGCCTACTCATATCAGCAAGCTCTCTTTGTTTCCTTCCCTGACAAAAAAGATCATATTGAATTCAATTATAGCCAACCTCTATGGCCAAAGTTGGCTGTTTACTTGTGGCTCAATAATACCGCCGCACAGTCACATTGTCCATCTGATTAAAAATGTCTCATAAGTGACAGATGGACTTAGATATTGTTCCTTGATATTTTTAGTGCAGAAACAGGTGTGTTTCCAGGGAGCACTGCGAGATTCAGTCTTGGTCTGTTAGCAATGAGAGGCGCTCGTGAATGACCGGAGCCTTGCCCCTCTTGTCGAAAACAGGATGGTGTCCGCCGGTCATTTTTGTCAGAGAACAGCCTGATTTGCCAGCCGTGATTGTCGAAAGCTGCTGTCGACACAAGTGTGAGGTGTTATGGAGGCACCAATCAGGCTGACAGATCTGAGCGTGGTGAGGGAACTGCCTGAGCTCATTTTCAAACATCAGGAGAATGAGCAGACAAGAGGGTGTCTTTGACTTTGCCAAACCCCTCAGTGAGGTGAAACGGCTTTGCGACTGAAGTGTTTCTGAAGCCCCCTGAAGACCTTGTCCATCTGTTCCCCACGGCCTCTCTACTCCCACTTGTCATTCACAGAGTAAACAAACAATCTAGAGCTTATTTATCCTAGACACTGCAGGCCACCAGATACCGAAATCTTACACTGCCTCCATGCCATTTCATCGGCCTGTAAGGACTCCCAGATCAATGACAGACACGGATTTCATAGATCCATGTGGTGAAATTGAGTCTTGAAGTCTTCCAAAGATACATCATGAATATTCCAACAGATTTTTAAGCCAAGTAAATTTGAATCCACTGCCAACAATAATAATAAATAAATAAAATCACTGGCTGTAAAATTCTGTTGCAATTTATTACTTATTTAAAAAAATAAGTAATACAAATGTAATTAATATATATTGTAATATATGATTATCATCATTATTATTAAAATAAATTAGTATTTTTATTTATCGTTGATGCATTCAATTGTTCAAAAGTGACAGTAAAGACATTTATAATGTTATAAAATATTTCTATTTCAAATAAAAGCTGTTCTTTTAAACTTTCTATTCTGAAAAAGAAATGTATCAAGGTTTACATACAAAATAAAACATATTCGTATTCAGCTTTTCCATCACAGGAATAAATTACATTTGAAAGTATATCAAAATAGAAAACAGTTTTTTTAATTGTAATGATATTTCGCGCTATAACTGTTTTTACTGTATTTTTTCATCAGAAAAACAATGCATGACGCCTCTAGTCATCCACATGGTAACCCTTGTAGCCTGAAAAAGAGAATACAATTTCAGATTTATCTGTCAGAAGTGTGAGAGAGCGTGAAGAGTTTGAATTTTAACAGGCCTTTGACCGTGTTTTAATACAGATGTGCAAGTGTAGTCGCACTGTCCACCTCAGGCAAATGTTTCTATTCTAGAAAAGTGTTGTCACAGTATATCCAGAGATGGAATTAAAGGTTTTCATGTAAGCAATTTCTAATCTCATTTAGTATATGATTGTCCTGCATGATTGGTATTATTAAAATTCAATGTAAAACGGCTTTTCAGTTATTATGATGATGAATCTTAAAGACACTGTTAGAAAAAAAAAATAGGCAGTGTGTTCAAGAAGGAAGGATAGCAACCATGCATTAGGCAATTACTTGAAATCAATTGGATGTAAATTGAAAAAGAAAAGCTTGTTTCCACTCACCGGTTCCTTGTAATTTCCTGTCTGTCTGTCTATCTATTAGTTGATTTGTGGTTCAGCACCTCAGCGCATCACATGTTGTTGTGAAATTCCCCACCATCTGAGTCGACTCCCACCCACAGTCTCGCAGTCTCACTCTTAAATCCTTTTACTAATATTTGTTTTTTGTGATCCCTCTCCTCCGTCAGGCCATTGCCAATCCTCTAGCACTTCATCAAGGATTGATATCAACACTCAATTGGTACTTGGAGAGGTGTGCTTGTTGTAGGATAGTGAAGCAGTGCCTTAAAGACTCCACAGCTGAAAGTATAGAGAAAGCCTGAGGGGGTTTCAGTACATCTGTAAAACATGTTTCTATCTGAGCTTAGAAGAACATCAGGGACAATGATTGGCCAAGATTACACAAAACCTGCTTGTTCTTCATAGACTGGAATCTTGTAAAACCATAGGTGGGAGTTGTTATTGTATTCTTGTGTAAAATGAAGGGCAAGACCAAAAACAAACATGCAAGCATATATTCAGCTCGCTGTGATATTTCCAGCAGAGCAGCGTCTTGTTTTTCCGAAAGAGAGTCTGCTGTCCTTAATCATAGAGAGAGCTTGCTGACAAAAACAGATGCTATCCAGACAAAAAGATGACCTAGTCATTTCACTGTAGGAATGGGGATGCACTTGTTCTGGGAAATCCGTTTTGAAAATGTGGAGCATCAGAAGGGGACGGATAATCTCAGATTATTTCCACATGGATTGCTTGAAGTGCAAGCAGTCAAATCTGCAGATTGAACTGAAGCACAAATAACTTGAATTAATATTCTTGTGAAGGACTACCCCATTGGAACGTGGCCTCTATCCCATTCCAAAGTGCTTAAGGAAATACTTAGACTTCACTTTCATTGCCCCTCACTTAATTTATTTGCTGCTTTTTGCAGAATAAGCAACAAAAAAAACTATGCCATCCATTTTCAACACAAACAGTTTGGCATCACTGCACTACAAGATCACATGAGCAGACATGCTGTTATACTCATTATCAGACACATCAATACTGATATTTCAGGGGGGGAAACTAATTGTTACTGATTTTATACTATTCAATAAATGGTAAATTAAAATTGAGAAACTTAAATAGGTGCAGTTACTTTCTATGTTCTTGATCTGTAAATGAAAATAGTTTAATTCAAAGCCAAAGCACATTCAAATGCTCTGCATCTCAGAGCGACACATCAGTGGTGTTGCTTAAAGAATCACTTGAGAGAATGATTCAATCACTCACTTATAAACACATTCTCTCTGAATAGGTACTTAGTAAAGTGTCCATTCGATGCACACTTCACAATCTCGCTGGAAGTAGTTGGTCATCCGGGTACATTCTTTGCCTACTGTTTTATGAATGCTGTGACTACAAATCTTTCACACACTTTTTTTTCGCCTACTATATAGTAGGGAAGTAGGTATATTCGAATTCAGCCGTTCACTTGTTTAGCTCCAAAATGAATCAGTGTTTTTGAATAAATTGGTTGAATGAATGTGTCAAAGATTCACTCATAAAGACTCGCCCTTGCCGCCACCTATTGTAACTTGTAGAAATAGTGACTGAAAAAATGCTCAGACTGACAGTTTTTCTTGAATGTGCAAACACAAGCAAGCAGAGTGATAACAAACTTAATGTACAAGCTGTTAAACTGTTTTACTAAATATCATCGCTCTTGGAAAGCTACCGGTAACCTTGACCAATCAGATGAGACCGGTTCTATAGACTAAATTATTAATTTCTTGACATCAAGGGAGGCAACGGCATCAATGAAAAGCTCCTGTCAAACTAGATGAGTTCGAATCACTTCTGAGCGACACCATAGGAAGCACCGAGGCTCTTGTAGCTGACACAATCATTTGAAAACTTGAGCGTGACATCCTCATCAAAGGATAGAGCTCTCAGTATTGGCATGAGAGACTCTTCCGTTTGTTTTATTATGTTTTTATGTCTTGTTATCACAGAAACAGACACGAACCAAGAGCCAACGCCCTGCTCATCCTGAAAAAAAAGGCCGTTTTTTGCTCCAAGACAGTATCTCTCAAAGTCACCAGGGATATCTGTGGTAGCCCCGATAGCTTTGTTGTTGCTGGGAGTTCTTTACCATGGTGACGGCATGTCAACTGCTCCTCTCTGCACTAAGGCACTTGGGGCAGAGAGCATTCATGAGGTCTTTTTTCTCTTATGAAGTGAGCATGACAACAAAAGAGAAATGGCTTGCCATTAGAACAGGGTGAGAAGTGGGTCACTGGCCTATTATGCTGAGGTTGGTGCACAATCTGGGATGAGTGAACTCATTCTGTTGCACCGAGAGATAGCAACATATTTAGATTTTGCCTTAAAAAGCGTTAGTGTAATTTACCAGTTTAACAAAAGTCACTGAACAACTTCATAAAATAAAGACCCACATACATTGTAGCTCACATTCTGCTGAAACCCTTTTTTTTATAGCTGTCACAATTATATTGTTTCACAAGAATCCTTTCAACAGAATGACTGGCATGACAGAGCTGCATGTAAATAGTGCATTAAGATTGATGTCATCATCATCCAACCTGCTTAGGATAGAGCGTCTGTGTGTGTCATTCTCAAATTAACTCTCACACATTATCAAATAATATATTAAAGCTTAGTTGGAGATGAAAAGGGGTGGTTCCCCAGTAGAGAGGGGATGATCAATACTGGGTGCATCAATAGTGCCCCCTAGTGAAACCATTTATTTTTTTAGCTTTTGGATTTGGGCCTGCATCTGTTAAAAGGAAAATTCTATAATTTACTCACCCTCTTCTAAACACCTCTTCTTTCATTATTTCTGTGGAACATAAAACCTGCATTTTTAAAGAATATCTTGGACATTAAGACTCACAAGCTCCAAAATGACCAAAAAAATATCATAAAAGTTGTCCATGTGAATAATATTCCAGGTCTTCTGTAGCCATTCCAATGTTTTGCGTGAAAATCTGACTGAAATTCATCAACAAATTCGTCTTTTGAGTAAAATCTTTACAATGAATCACTCAATTCAAACATTTGAGTCATTCATGGATTGGATGATTTGGTTCTCAAGTTCAGCTCGATGATCCAGCTACAATGACTAGGAAATAACTGGAAAATTATCAGTAAATTATTTCAATTTAGGTTTGTTCATCACTCAAAGCTATTATATGACCCCAAAAAATACTTTAAATGTAGAGCATGATTCATATGGACTTATTTTATTGTTCCTTTGAATTATTTTTGAAGCCTATAATCTCCAGCCCCCATAATTGTAAAAGAGTGATCAGCACAGATAAAGTAAGTCATACAGGTTTGGGATTTTAAAATGTTTTGTATGAAAAGTTTGGTCACACTTTAGTTTAGTTTATTAGTACTAATAGTTTATTACGACTTTTGCCTCAATAAACTCATAATTACTGCTTATTAATAGTTCTAGGTAAGGTATTTGTTAAATTTAGGCATTGGATTAAGGGATGTAGAATAAGGTCATGCAGAATAAGGCATTAATGTGCTTTATAAGTACTAATAAACAGCCAATATCCTAGTAATATGCATGTTAATAAGTGACTAGTTAATAGTGAGAATTAGACCCTAAACTAAAGTTTTTTTTTTTAATTGCAAACATTGAACTTTAAATGGAGGCTAGAGAGTAAAACCTATACCTATGAGGTTCATCGAGTCAGGATGTTATTGGTATCTGTGGGTTTTGATGATTTCCATCATCACCTCGAGCAGTCACTCTAATGGAACGTGGGTTGAAGGGTTCGTCATCAAAAACGACCTTGCGTCCTCATTACACGTTGCACCACAGACTGTGTGACTGAAGGTCTGAAGACGCTTTCTGGCTTAGAAAGAGGAATTAATTTTTCCGGCGGGGGAGTTTTGTCATGCAGAAGAAAACCTCAAAGCAAGACACAAAACTGCAACTTCCAACACTGTTGCAGCAACACAGTCTTCATTGATTTTTAAATGAGACAAAAAGCATGTGCTCTCTGAACTTGCCTTTGAATAAAACACCCATTCTACTAATGACAAGAATTGCTTCTTATGAAAAGAATGTCTTTGAATTTTTAAAAGGGTTCCTATTAAGAACTTTACTGTAGAAGATTTTACTGAGGATAAATGCATAATATATTAATACATAAGAAAATTTTAGATACCATACAACAGCCTTTTTATTTGCATACAACATTTTGAAGTTTTGAAGTTATTTGGATGTTGCTGAAAATATCAAACTGTTTCAAAATATTATCTTTTTTTTTTAACTAAATGCATTTATTAGCATCATAATCATATTTTGAATCTCCTTCCTGAATCTATTTCTTCCATTTTTGCATCCAACTACATTAGAATAATCGATTTTACTTTTGCTGCTGATGATACTGATGCATTGTACAAACATCCATGGCAGCTTTTATGTTAAGTGTGGTTTTTAAAAACATGAATAAAGACATGATTCTGGATGGGTCATGACATGTTCTTTACTTCCATGTAACCATGTATGTGTCATCCCTCTTTACCTAGAGCTGCAAATCACAGGAAAAATGACCTT